GTCAGGTAGACTACGAGATCAGGTGGTGAGAAGTCGATGGGGGGATGACTGGTGGCGCGCTCGGAGGGGTACTCCAGTATGAGTGATGAAGGGCGCCAGTAATCCTACTCTGTGTGGAGGGTGGTCAGAATGGTACTGCGGGTACCGATCACAATGTGCCCACGAGATGATAGCCTCTGAGTTCGGGCATAGTTAGGGTATACTTCCGGAAGGTGTCTTAGTGTGTTGATAATTTCATAATTGATCATAATATATAATTCTATATCTGTTTTATTATATCGAATGATTTAATACTTACCCCTATTTTTCCATGTGGATGAGACTGCGATGATCACTTTTATGTGGGAGCAGATCAGGAGTTGAGAGATGGTGATGGGACTACTGGACAACAAGAATAGTTCAGTGAGATAGCTTCGAGGGAGCTACTCTTACATGTATAATATATAAATAAATTATGTTACTATATTTTGAAGTTCTGTTAGTGAATTGGAATTTCAATATATGTTACAAATACAATAATATAATGTAAAATAGATATTGTTATTTACTTGTTTACTACTTTGCGAAGACATCATTATAGTAGCGATTTCTAGGGTCGTTACATAACCCTACATCTAGTTCTTAGTCAACTCTAACACAAGAGTGACCCTAGTATAATGTAACATAGATTTGCACAGTATAATGTAGCATAGATTAGCCCAGATTTGTATCAAGTGTTAGAGTCTCTTAATCTCCCCCTGAATATATTAATAACAAGACTCCCCCTAACTCATATGAGCAAAGACTTCACTTAACTCCTCCCCCTGTCTAATTCAGATATAAGAATGAATTTAACACAGATTTTTGCATCCGCCATGTCACTGTGTACACTATGTGTTGTATCATCTTTGTTGCTCATAAAGGCTACTTTGTACATCCTTATGCTGCTGTCAAAGGTAAGAATTTGTTGTATGTTATTGATTAGTATATGTATATATAGAGATGGCAAAACGGGTCAGGCCCGGCGGGTCAGCCCGCCAGCCCGCCATAATATGGAGAGGTGGGTTGGTGTTTTCAGCTCACCAGCCCGCTTTGGCCCGCCCCGTCAAGCCCGCCAACCCACTGGACCAACTCGCGGGACGGAGCGGGCCAACCCGCGACCCGCCTAATTAATAAAAAAATAATTTTTATTGTAATAAAATTAATATATAAAGTTAAAATTTTTAAAAAGAGAATTAAGGATGAAGATGGTTAAAAAAGTTAGAAACGGGAATTGAGGAAGCAAACCCGCCCGCCCCATTTCGACCGCCCAGTTGTCATTCCTAATTTTAAGAGTTAGTCTATTCGTACTAAATTAATAATTCATCTTAATTATTTAATTATAAAGAATTGAATGGTGAAAATGAAAAGTAAGTTTCTAACTTTTATTCTTTTAATAAGTATATAATTCTCAAACTAATTTATAATAAATATATATTTTAATAAAATAAAATTATTTTTTATTATTTTAAAAAATATTATTTTATAAAATGTAATAAATCTAATTACAGGCCTAATGTAATCTAATTTATAAATATGATCACTTTCCTTTTTTACAAAGAAGTTCATTCTTATTTTATTTTTTTTTATAATCTTTATTCTCACATAAACTTAAAAATCAAAGTATTTTTTAATGAATTTCTTTCTTTTATTGACATTTAACAAAACTCGATCTAATAGATTTTAAATTAATAGCCATTCAGCTTGATCAACAAAACTCATTAATTATTATAATTTTTTAATAAAAATATTATGCAGATGACATTGATAAAAAGTAATTATTCCATTTCGTATTATGCCTACTAGGCATGATAATGGGCGCGGGCGAGGCGGGTTTTGCCTCCCAGGTCCTCGACCCGACTTTTTAACCATCCCCGTCCCTACTCCCGATTCCCGTTGAGGTTAGAAATTAAGTTCCTATTCCCGTCCCCGCTGGGTTTCGAGTTTCCCACCTCCGCTCCGTCCTCAATCTATATTATTTTTAAAAAGATAATTACATTTATAATAAATTAATTTTATTATATATTTTTTTATATATAAATAAATATTTATAATTTATAATAATTATTAATTAAATATATATTTTAATTTATTATATTTATATTAAAATATGTATGCAAAAGAAATATTTAATTATTTTTTATTTATATATATATAGAATATTTATAATATTATTATTATTATTATGATAACATTGTATTCAAATATTTGAATATTTATAATATTATTATTATAATATTATATTCAAACATTTGATTATATATATAAGTTAATTCATTTTTAAGTTATCATTTAAAAATATGAAATATATAATTTATAAGGAAATATTTAATAAGTTAATTCTTATTTAATTAGTTTGAAGTAATAAAGGTTTAAATTATCAATTCCTTTTAATAATTTAAAATACAATTATTTTATTAAGATAAAATTTGATATATGATAAATAAGAATAATAAGATAAAAAAATGAAAAAATAAAATCTAATAAATATAAATTATAAATAAAATAATATTAGTTACTACTAAGATTTATGTAAAATATTTAGAAAAAGATAAAGAAAAAAAGTTAACTTTGTGTTCATCAAATTGGTTGAAAAGATTGAAAAAAAATAAATTGATGGGAGAGATTAATGAAATGTGAAAAATTAAAAGGTAAAAGAGAGAATAATGTAATAAATTAATTGATATAAAAGATTAAAAAAGACAAAAAAATTAAAAAATGGGTAGAAGAAAAATAAAAATTGGTGAAATATAAAAAAATGAACTTATATGTAATAGAAAAAGAAAAGGAAATACTTTTAAAATATTTATATTTTAAAAATTAAATTTAAATATAAAGTCAGGGCGAAGATGAGGTCGGGATTGATGATTGCATTACTCATCCCACGTCTCCGCCTCCGACTTTTAAAGCGGAAAAACCCAAACCCGTCTCCACCCCAATCAACTCGAATTTTCTCCGTCAAACTCGGATCGCTTCCCACGGATATAAGTTTAATTGTCATCCCTATTAGTATAAAACATGTAAAGAATCAAATTCACGACAAGAATAGTGAGATTAATGACATTGTTTGTAGAAGGTCGAATAAAATATTTATAATGTAGAAAAGATTTGTAAACATATCTTATGCTTCTTATCTTTGTCTAATTATTGTTTGATTTTAGCATAACCAATATGAATAATATATATATGGTCTTTCTTCTTGAGCTTAGAATGTTGTATGAAACAAGAAATTATTGTTTATGCTTAGAAAAATATAGAGTGATAAGTGATTAAATTACAAAAATGAGCGTGAAATAAAATATTTGCCTTATACTAGTATTTTCTTAAATGAATAAAAATATTTTTTATTCTATTTTATCTCTTTTTTATTTTCTTTTCGTTCATTTTATTTTCTTATATTTTCATTTCTTACTATGAAACAACCCCTAACCTATGTTTGGAGAAAATAAAAAGATACGGCTGATATGTGAAAAAAAAAGCACAGAAAGCGAAGGTCACAAAAAAGTAAAATTTCACCACTTTTTTTTGCAGTAAAATGTGCTGAAACAATATATAATCCATTATATCTTCCATAAAATGTCTCAATTTTTTTAAATATTATTTATTTTTTTAATTATTATAATAATAAATAGTTAAATAAAAAATTAACATAATAAATAAATTTATTTAAAATTAATAAAATAATAACTTATTTTATTGATCAATTTTATCTTTTATTATTTTTTATTTATTTCTCTTCATTTCTTCAATCTAAATAATTGTTTTTCATTTCTTCAAATCGGTTTTTCAATTCAAAACGTTATAGTACACAAATAAATTTATATTTAAATATTTAACTATATTGATTTTATTTGGTTAAATATGTTTCTTATCTTTATAATTTTTTTAAACATGATCTTTGTCTTTATATTTAAAATTTTATTAATTAATTTTCAACTTATGAATATTTTTATATTCAGATAATTTTAAAATTTAATAAAATTAACAAAAGAATTAAATATAATTTTAGTATTTTATGATATTTAAATTTAATATTTAATAACATTTAATATATTATAAAATTGATGAAAAAATAAATTTGCATAATTTTAAATTAATTAAATAATTTTTAATTATAAGTTATAAAATAAAATTTAAAAAATACAAAGACAAAAACATATTTAAGTCTATTTTTTATATTTTATAATAAAATTGAATTAATTGTAATAATAACTGTGATCAAGAACTTATTATTGATAAGCCTATTGTAATGATAAAATAAAATAATATTGAACAATATAAAATATATTTTAGTAATGTTTAAAACTAAAATCAAACATAAATTTACATATTATAAACATTTAAAATAGTATATAATTATAATAAAATGTGTTATGATACTTAAATTAACATTTTAATCATATTCATTAATAAGTTTCCATGTACCATAAAACAATTACAAATAATTTAGATTGTTTTTTATATTTTTAAAGTAGAAATTAAAATAATATATTATTAACTACTTTTAACTAAGTTGAATATTGACCCATAAGAAACATCTCAAATATTCTACAAAAATACCAAATTTATAAGATAATCAAATCTATTCTGCCATTACATTAGATATTCATGTTTCTTATTATTTTTTACTCATCTTCTTTTTATATTAATTTTTTGTAGATTCTTTAAATCCGTCCAATTAATCGGTCTAGTTCATTTTCTTAAAAATTCGCATCAACGAAGAAAGATCTCAAATATTCTAGAACATTCTTAGATAATAAATTTTTTATTATTATTCTATTAAATCTATACACTTAATTGGAAACATAAAAAAAAGTAATTAATAATAAAGAAATCCTTGATATCGCAGGCTTCTATTCTTGGGCGAGAAGAAAAGGAGCTTACCGAAATACTCACTTTATAAATATCGAGTGACCTACCAAACTTCCCAAACTCCGATCCCTTGTTTTCCCATTCTCTTTCAACTCACTTCAATTCCTTCCATGGCGAACCAACCCGAGTCCTCCGATGCGTAAGCTTCTTCTATCTCCTTAGATCTCAATAATACCATCGATTTTCTTCTCTTCTTCCCACCGAGTCTAAATCTAACTCACTCTGTTTCTTTATTTCTTTAGTAAGGGAACAAAGAGGGATTTCAGTACCGCGATCTTGGAGCGCAAGAAGGCGCCCAACCGACTCGTCGTTGACGAAGCCGTAAACGATGACAACTCCGTCGTCGCGCTTCACCCCGACACCATGGATAAGCTTCAGCTCTTCCGCGGAGACACGATTCTTCTCAAGGTAAGCCACATGAGCGATTTTCAGTTTCGATTTTGGTTGAGTTTTTTGATGACCGTTTGGTGTTGTTTTTTGTCGTTTAGGGGAAGAAGAGGAAGGATACTGTTTGTATTGCGCTTGCTGACGAGACCTGTGAGGAGCCCAAGATACGAATGAACAAGGTCGTCAGGAACAACCTTAGGGTTAGACTTGGTGATGTTGTTTCCGTTCACCCATGCCCTGATGTTAAGTACGGAAAGAGGGTGCACATTCTTCCCGTGGATGACACCATTGAGGGGGTTACTGGGAATCTCTTTGATGCTTACTTGAAACGTGAGTTAAATTGCTTACTGTTTGCTGATCAGACGTTTTGAAGTTAATGGTCTTAGGTTCTGTGTGTATTAACTTTTGTGTTAAATAAGAAACATGAATTGAGGGCGTAAGTTCATCCAATTAGGGTTTTTAAAATAATTGATGACTTTCACAAGGTAATTGGTGGAGAAACTTATTGCATTTTTTGACTCGCAATTTATAGGTTTTAAAGAAACTAATCTCTTCAATAAACCTAAATCAGCAGGACATATATTCTTGTGGCTAGTGAATAGTAATAAATTAAGTGGAAGTTAGGGAGTGGTAATTTATTCGTTTTTGATAGCTATGTGAGGATGGTGCTTAATCAACTTATTATTTATCTAGAAATAAGTTAATTCAACTATGCATTAAGTCATGTTTTACTTATGCAGCTTATTTTCTTGAGGCATATAGACCTGTGAGGAAAGGGGATTTGTTCCTTGTGAGAGGGGGAATGAGAAGTGTAGAGTTCAAGGTTATTGAAACTGATCCTGCAGAGTACTGTGTTGTTGCTCCTGACACTGAGATCTTTTGTGAGGGGGAGCCTGTTAAAAGGGAAGATGAGAATCGGTTAGATGAGGTTGGATATGACGATGTTGGTGGTGTTAGAAAGCAGATGGCACAGATCCGGGAACTGGTGGAGTTGCCATTGAGGCATCCACAGCTGTTCAAATCTATTGGTGTTAAGCCACCTAAAGGAATTCTGTTGTATGGACCCCCTGGGTCTGGTAAGACTTTAATTGCTCGTGCTGTTGCAAATGAAACTGGAGCCTTCTTTTTCTGCATTAATGGCCCTGAGATCATGTCAAAACTGGCTGGTGAGAGTGAAAGCAATCTGAGGAAGGCATTTGAGGAAGCTGAGAAGAATGCACCCTCCATTATCTTCATTGATGAGATAGATTCCATAGCTCCAAAGAGGGAGAAGACTCATGGGGAAGTTGAGAGGAGAATTGTTTCCCAGCTCTTGACTCTGATGGATGGTCTTAAATCTCGTGCTCATGTAATTGTTATTGGTGCTACAAATCGTCCCAACAGCATTGATCCGGCCCTTAGGAGGTTTGGAAGGTTTGATCGCGAGATAGATATTGGTGTTCCAGATGAGGTTGGACGCCTTGAGGTTCTTCGTATACATACAAAAAATATGAAGCTTTCTGAAGATGTAAGATTGAATCCTTTCTCCCTTCAGTTGTGATTTGGTGTGAATGTTCTGAAATATTTGACTATCGTGTAATTTGCAGGTTGATTTAGAAAGAATTGCCAAGGACACCCATGGATATGTTGGTGCTGATCTGGCTGCTTTGTGCACTGAAGCTGCACTCCAATGTATCAGAGAAAAAATGGACGTCATTGACTTGGAGGATGAGTCCATTGATGCTGAAATACTGAACTCAATGGCTGTGTCAAATGAGCATTTTCAGACTGCTCTTGGAACAAGCAATCCTTCTGCTCTCCGAGAGACGGTAAGTATTTCACCTGTTTCTTATAGTTTCCTGTTCTCTTGTTCCCTACTCTGTTCACACTCTTGTGATCACGTTATTCAAACTTTGACGTGCATCTAAATTTGGTTTTATTAATGAACCAGGTTGTTGAAGTGCCCAATGTCAGCTGGGAAGATATTGGTGGTCTTGAAAATGTGAAGAGAGAACTTCAAGAGGTAAGTTGGGCTCTCCTGCATTGAGTTACGTCTCTGCATGTTTTCTCTCATTGTAGTCTTGGTTTTAATAACTTTTCTTTTTCTCAGACTGTTCAATATCCGGTGGAACACCCTGAAAAATTTGAGAAGTTTGGAATGTCTCCTTCAAAGGGGGTTCTTTTCTATGGTCCTCCGGGTTGCGGTAAAACCCTTTTGGCAAAAGCTATTGCTAATGAATGTCAGGCAAACTTCATCAGTGTTAAAGGTCCTGAACTACTTACCATGTGGTTTGGAGAAAGTGAGGCAAATGTGAGGGAAATTTTTGACAAAGCTCGTGGTTCTGCTCCCTGTGTCCTATTCTTTGATGAACTTGACTCTATTGCAACTCAGGTTTGCACCATACTCTAAGCTATGGCTTATAATCTTAAAAAGTTTTTGGTTTGTAAGATATTTTTGCAATTATTTCTATAAATTCTAACCTAGTTATTTAGCCTGTCTTAAGACTACTGTGGTCGTCTTTGCTTTGATAGATGTGTTTGAAACTTGTATGTTTTTTATCTTGCAGAGAGGAAGCAGTGTAGGAGATGCTGGGGATGCTGCTGACAGGGTTTTAAATCAATTGCTTACGGAGATGGATGGTATGTCAGCAAAGAAAACTGTGTTCATCATCGGGGCCACTAATCGACCAGACATTATAGATCCTGCACTTTTGCGACCAGGCCGTCTGGATCAGTTGATTTATATTCCACTCCCAGATGAGGATTCCCGTCATCAGATATTTAAAGCTTGTTTGAGAAAATCTCCTGTTTCTAAAGATGTTGACCTTAGAGCTCTTGCCAAGTATACTCAAGGCTTCAGTGGTGCAGATATTACGGAAATTTGCCAGCGGGCATGCAAGTATGCTATAAGAGAAAACATTGAGAAGGTAAACTTATGGGGGCCACCTCCTCTTACTGTGTTATTCACTACTGTGCCTTGACAATAATTGAAGAGTATCTGAGAAATGTTAATTCCGCCCACTTTCAATCACTTTTGATATTGGTTGGAATTTATTAGAACCGTAAGTTTTTGTTAGTTTAATGAGTCTCTCTCGTGGGTTTCAATAAATTACAACTAATATTAGTGAGTCAAAACATGTTTTTTATAGAATTTTATTTTATCAATGTTCAAAACTTTTTATCTCGAAGCAGATTGAAGCCAATTTCTTGATCTATTTATTGGCAGGACATTGAGAAAGAGAGGAGGAAAAGAGATAATCCTGAGGCAATGGAAGAGGATATTGAAGAGGAAGAAATAGCTGAAATCAAGGCAGCCCATTTCGAAGAGTCAATGAAGTACGCACGAAGGAGTGTAAGTGATGCTGACATTCGCAAGTACCAGGCATTTGCACAGACATTGCAGCAGTCAAGAGGGTTTGGATCTGAGTTCAGGTTTGCAGATACCAGCACTGGCGGTGCTGGTGCTGGTGCTGGCACTGCATCTGATCCTTTTGCAAGTGCTGGTGGAGCTGATGAAGATGATCTTTACAGTTAGACCAACCTGTGCCTTTGCGTTAATTATGAACGGCAATGCTGCTGATTTATGTACTCATATTCTGTCTGAAATCAAGCTTCCAGTGGTTTTATTATTGTCTTTCTTTGTAAAAGGCACCTGTTCTTGTGGCAAAAGTCTGGTTGAATGTGAAAGGATTTATTTGGACTTCGAAAAAAGATTTAAAGGATCTTTGGAAGAGCGTAGGTTTATTTGAATTTATAGTAATTTATGATTTTTAATATATCTGAGTTAGTATTTTGTCAAAATAAATTTTACGACATTATGGTGACTTTTAAAACTTTGATGTTATCCATTGTTTTGTCCTGCAGGGTACTCCAACTATGCCTTTTGATTGTGTTGGTGATTCTTATTTGGTTTAACGACTTTCCGGGTATATTTTTCATGTTGAGCTAGATGGACACAAAAGAAGTTTAAAAAAATTTCAAGATTTTAATATATTATTGGTTTTTAATATAGGTATCCAATAATTTCTTTTATCGAAATTTAATACATAATAAATTAAGCTTTTTTAGTCATTTGTATGAGACCACTCTTGGAGAGTTATATTTGGGTTATTTGACCATCCAAGTTTAACATTTTTAACCTTTATCTGATCATGTCACCTAGGTTATTTGGATTGCAAATTATTCAGATTGGGTTCAAATTGGGTCCGACCCTTTTCTTAATAATAAAATTGGATTTTTTTTTTCATTTGCTGACCATTCAGAATGAATGAAGTAAATATATATTGGACATTTAGTACATTTTTTTTATCTACGTATGACTTGAACAATTGTGTTTACAGTGGGGCTGTACAATTTATTATTAAAACAAATAAGTGATGCCAAAACCAAAAGTAATGTTGGATAACAAATTAAAATGTATGTTGAGTGAATTAAAAGAAAAATTTAAAAAAAGTTAACAATTTTAATACGTTTATAACTATTACAAATTATTTGTAGAAAGTTTAAAAATTTAACAATTCAAATATTCCTTTGAAGCATTTAACTTCCCCTTTACTAAAAGATAAAATATAAGAAACACTTTAATGAAGGGATTACACCGTTTATAAACAAAGATAAAAAGGATTTAAAAACAAACCGAAAACATCCACGATTAAAAGAATATTAAACTTACTGTGGACTAATTTTATTGAAAGTAGTTAACAAGATTTGAGATATATATTACATGGATTCAGAATGTGACATGGGTCTCCTAAAAATCAGAGATACAATTCCAACAATTTCTGTGGCAACTTTTGAATCAAAGTGTTCGACATCTATTTAAAGTATGCCCATTATAGTCTTTCTATTCTTTTATTTCTTCCAATAAGTGTAGTCATTTTTAGTGTTAAAGTCTAATCTAGAATAAAATAACTGGATGACCCTTATATTCTATGCTTTAATGATAAATGAGATTAAACTAAACAAATTAAATATTAAAATAAAAATAATTATGTATACATAAACAACAAACTATTTAGCAATTAGTTAGACATAGTAAAAAAACTAACTTACAATCTTATCCAATTAGGCATGACAATAGCCGTAACAAGGGTGAGTTATTTTTTAATCATTTCTATTCTCGTCAAAATTAAAATTTAATATCTATTTTCGTTCCGATTTCCTGTTCTTGATACGTTTTCATTTTATATTATTTTAAATAAATTATAAATAAAATATAATACATTAGTTTTAATATTATTTTTACACATAAATAAATATTTATATTTTTATAACTTTTAACCTATTATTGTTTGAATATATTATAAGATAATATTTAATAAAATTAGTGCAAAGTAATATAAAGTTCAACTATAAATCTTTCAAATTTATCAATAATTCAAAATATAATTATTTAATTAATAATAAAATTTAGTATATAATAAATAAAAATAATAAAATACATAACGTATGAGATAATAAAATTTAATAGAGACAAACTAAAAATAAAAAGATACTAGGTGTTACTTACAAATGAATAGAAAAAAAAGTTTAAGAGTGTTAAGAACATAAGTTTGGAAATTTGAGCTAATGAAAAAGGAAGAAAAGGGAAAGGTGGGAAGATTGGAGGACTCAACGTTAATACTGAAAGAGAAAAATGAAAAGAGAGAATTGGAGTTTGAAGGTAGAATTAAAGACCTCGAATTTAAGGAGAAAAGAAAAATGGAAGAATAAAGTAAGATGAAAAGGAATAATTGGAGAGGAACTTCAAAATTGACTGGGGGTGACAAATATACAACTGTTATAACTCCACCACGTCATAGGACTGTTGTAAGCATTATGTGGATAATAAAATTATTCGAGAAAAAGGAAAAAATTATTGTTTTGAAAATTGGAATACACCGATTGAATTAGGAATTGGATTAAAAATTAGATTCTTGTTTTTAAATAATTGAATTTTCATTAAATTGGGATAAAATTAGAAAATTTGATAAAACAAAAACAATAGTAGGATTTTTACGTTAAAGGTAAAAAAAAAATAATTAATTTTTTAATATAATTTTTTTATAAAAAGTATAATATATTTATATTTTTTCTTTTTTTATCTTATATTAATATATCAACTTTAAATACTAATTATTTTATTATATTTTTATCTTATTTTAATAATTATTCATCTTATACTCTTTAATATATTTTATATTTATAATTTTTATTATAACATGAAAATAACTTTTATTATTTTTATAAAAAATATTAGTATTAATAAGTTTATTATACCGTTATTATATTATAAAAATATTATTTTATTAAATTCGATTGAATCCGGTTGAACCTTTAAATCTTAAACCCATATATTTGTAACTATTCTAGAAATTGCTATTATATTGATATTTTTTGCAAAATAGTAAACAAGTAAATAATAACATATATATTATATTATATTACTGTAATTGTAATATAGATCGAAATCTCGGTTCATCGACGAAACCTTAAAATATAGTATCACAACTTATTTATATAGATGCATACAAAAGTAGCTCCCACAAAGATCATCCTATTGAACTATTCCTCTTGCCCAGTAGTTGCATCTCCACCTCTCAACTCCGATCTGCTCCCACATAAAAGTCATCATCACAGTCCCATCCACGTGGAAAAATAGGGGTAAGTATTAAATCATTCGATATAATAAAACAAATATATAATTAATAATTACATATTATCATCAATTACAAATCATCAATACACTAAGATGCCTTACGAAAGTCTATTGTAACTATGCCCGAACTCAGAGGCTATCATTTGTGGGCACATTGTGGTTGGCACTCGCAGTAACATCCTGACCACCCTCCACACAGAGTGGGATTACTGGCGCCCTTCATCACTCATTTTGGAGTACCCCTTCGAGTGCGCCACCAGTCATCCCCCATCGACTTCTCACCACCTCATCTCGTAGTCTACCTGACCCGACCAATCAGTGAAGTCTGGGACCTCATCCGAATCATTCGACATAGTTAGTACACTAATATACTCTGTACCATCCCAGGTACCATTCAAACACAACAACAATCATTCACATCTATCGGATTCTGGACCACCTGTCCTCACGACTCATTCGGGTAAATAAATAATAGTATTTGACTGATTTTGGGCACCAACCCTCCGACTCAGTCTAGCCAATACATAACATCTCATGACTGATTTTGGACATCAGCCCTCAGGCTCAGTCTAACCCACACACGTCATAACACACTGCTGAGTCTTTAAAAATTCTAATTTCATTTATATTTTAATTATTTTTCTTAACATACCTTTACTTTATTTCTAAAATTCCAATTATACCTTTAAACATTTTCTATTATTCCTTTTTCATCCCAAAATCATTAAATTATTATTTTGCCCTTAATCTTTTCTTAAAATTTTATGTATGTCCCTAAATAACTATTTTACCCTTGGACATTTTCTATTATTCCTTCCATGTCCCAAAAATGACTATTTTACCCTTGAACATTTTCGATTATTCCTTCCATGTCCCAAAAATGACTATTTTACCCTTGGACATTTTCGATTATTCCTTCCATGTCCTGAAAATGACTATTTTACCTTTGAATATTTTCGATTATTCTTTCCCCTGTTCCGAAAATAACTATTTTACCCTTGGACATTTTCGATTATTCCTTCTATGTCCCGAAAATGACTATTTTATCCTTAAATATTTTCAAAAATTCTATTTATGTCCCTAGGATGTAAAATGACTATTTTACCCTTGATCTTTTTCAAAAATTTCTCTCTTAACCCTTTCTTCAACCTCGCATCCAGTAACCATATAAAATTTTTCAGATTTTAAATTTTTCAGTTTCAAGCAATCAAACTAGTTCCAAATCCAAATTAAACATGAGATATGTCCATTTTAACTCAAAAACAACAATTTTACCATATAATTCATCCTTAATTTCAAGAATTTCAAACTTTTAAAACATGAAGAAATCTTCAAAATCAGTCATTCAAATAATTCATATTTCTACTCCTATTCCTTATTCACAGAGTACCCACCAATTCAGTCTAATATATGGAATGAATTAAACTTCCCCTTACCTTATGTGGTATTTCTACCGAAGCTTTCCCACTTAATCTAAGTTCTCTTCTGTTTCACCAGATCCTGCACAAGTAGAGTTTCGTTGCTTGAAATTGAGACGAAAAAAGAAGAAGAACGAAGAACGCGTGATATGGGAGGGAAAATCACTTACTGAAATCCATGCCTTTTCCCCCCTCTTTGCATGTATATATAAAAATTTGTGTAGTACAGAGGAAACTTCACTATGAAGTTTTTGCACTTGTGTAATATTATTATAATATATAATAAAAAAAACATACGTCACAATATTCACTTATTCGAGTGATCCAATTTTAAAAACATTGAAAAAAATGGTTAATGGAGAAAAAACCCATTTTTTATTATTTTATTATTATCGGTTAATAATAATAATAATAATAATATAAATAGGATGAATAAGTGAAAAAAAGATGATGACAAATTATATTAAGATACTTAAACAC